GAGAAGAAAGCCCTGCAGGATGCTCATCAGCAGGCTCTGGAAGACCTGCAGAATGAGGAAAACAAAGTGAACATGCTGTCCAAGGCCAAGATCAAACTTGAGCAGCAGGTGGATGATGTGAGTATGAAGTGGAATCAGTTAAACCCTACGAGACAAACTTAGTTCACCCAAAAATGAAAATTAGCCTGTGTTTTTCTCACCCTCGAGCCATCCTAGGTGTATATGACTTTCTTCTTTCAGACGAATCCAATCGGAGTTATTTTTAAAATTGTAATGGCTATTCCAAGCGTTATCATTGCAGTGGTGGGTGTTTCTCTTGAACAGTTCAAAACACGATAAATAAAGCACGCGCATCCGTAATGAAACGTGCCTCACACGGCTCCGGGGCATGAATAAAGGCCTCCTGTAGCGGATATTTGGAAATATGGATATTTTTCTTACAAAAACACATGGAATCGCTACAGGAGGCCTTTATTCATGCCCCGGAGCCGTGTGAGGCACGTTTCATTACGTATGCGCGCGCTTTATTTAACGTGATTTGGACAGTTGAACAGAAACAGCCGCCCACTGCAATGATAGAGCTTAGAAGTGCCAGGACAATTTTTAATATAACTCCGATTGGATTCGTCTGAAAGAAGAAAGTCATATACACCTAGGATGGCTCGAGGGTGAGTAAATAACAGGCTAATTTTTGGGTGAACTCACCCTTTAAGAGTCCATAACAATCCGTAACTCCTTAATCACTGGGCAGATTTACAATTGGAAATAAAATGCTTATTAGCGAACACAACTCAATGTTTATTATTATTTCCTAACTGTAACAGTTAGAGGGATCTTTGGAGCAAGAGAAGAAAGTGCGTATGGATCTGGAGCGAGTGAAGCGGAAGCTTGAGGGAGATCTAAAGATTTCCATTGAGTCATCCATGGATTTAGAGAACAACAAACAACAGCTAGAGGAAAGACTGAAGAAGTGAGATTTTACAGACATTATGCAGTCTTAATGTTGCAAATGGAAGCACTGTACTATGCTGTATGATCAATTGAGCTCTAATGAAGTCTGTTTATGGTCTTTTCTAAAGGAAAGACCTTGAAATGGTTCACATAGGTGCAAAGATTGAAGAGGAGCAAGCCTTGGTTATGCAACTGCAGAAAAAAATAAAAGAATTACAGGTAATTATTTGGCTAATGACCGAAAATCCCGCATTTTCATAATGAGTTATTACTATAACAGTATTATGGTAAACTCTTTACAGACACGTATTGAAGAGCTTGAGGAGGAACTTGAGGCTGAAAGAGCAGCTCGATCAAAGTCAGACAAGCAGCGTGCTGATGTATCAAGGGAACTGGAAGAGTTAAGTGAATGTCTGGAGGAAGCAGGAGGTGCTACCGCTGCCCAGATCGAGATGAACAAGAAGCGGGAGGCTGACTTCTTAAAAATGCGGAGAGATCTGGAAGAAGCCTCACTGCATCATGAAACTACTATGGCCATGTTGAGGAGAAAGCATGCGGACACTGTGGCTGAGTTGGGGGAGCAACTGGACAACCTGCAGAGGGTTAAACAGAAGCTGGAGAAGGAAAAGGCAGAAATCAGAATGGAGTCTGAAGATCTGGCATCTAACCTTGAACATCTCTCCAGAGCCAAAGTAAGACATCTCAATGTGCTTTACATGGTTTCTGAGACTCATAATGCCACTGTCTTATCATCCATGGAGCTCATGGTTAAAACATATAGAGTGAACATGAACTGGGTTGAAAAATACTTTATTAACAGTTGTTAAATGCCAAATAAGAGAGTTAACAGAAAGACTGTTGTTTGCAGGGCACAACAGAGAAAATGTGCAGGATGTATGAAGACCAGATGAATGAGTCTAAAACCAAGGTTGAGGAACTCCAGAGGCAGCTAATGGATGTCACCTCTCAAAATGCACGGGCCCAGACAGAGAGTGGTCAGTGTCCTGCACTATGAAACAGAATAAAGATCAGGAGCTAGAAATAAGGAAGTCTCCCATAGAAATTCAGATTTACATTTGTCTTAGAAACAAGTGGCAAAACAGAGCTCAAATAACGTAAGAAAAAGGCCACTGGCACTTGGTAAAGGCTTTGCTTTCTCTTTTCGGTCTTACGTTAACAGCCGAGGTCAGTCGCAGACTGGAAGAGAGAGAGGTTCTGGTTATGCAACTGCAGCGGACAAAGAGTGCTCTCAGCCAGAGCATGGAGGAGCTGAAGAAACAGCTAGAAGAGGAATGCAAAGTGAGCCAGAATTTTACTACATTGGATGCACTTGTGCCATATCTCTTAGGATCAATCAATTAAAATTTCTAACCACAATTATTCAATGTTTGCTGAAGAAAGACATGAAACATAACAATATTGTGGCAGACAAGAAAAGCATGGGGGGGGGAAGCCTTTAGAAGTTGATGTATTTTTGTATACTACTGATTAAATGTTTGGGATCCGCAAGATGGGGGGTAAGAAATGAATACTTTGATTCTGAAAGGACAGATTAAACTGATTAAAAGTGACTTTTACAAAGATTTTAACAATGTTTTTTGAGAACCAAAATCAGCATAAAGAGGATGATTTCTGAAGCATCATGACTGGAATTATGGATGCTGAAAATTCTGTTTTACCATTACAGGAATAAATTACATTTTAAAATATATTTAAATAGAAAACTGTTATTTTAAATTGTAATATTATTTTAAAATATTACTGTATTACCGTATATTTGATCAAATAAATGTGGCTTTAGTGAGCATAAGAGACTTATTTCAGGAATATAAAAAATCTTATTGACCCCAAACTTTTGAACAATAGTGGTTATATATTCAGTATATTCATCTTAATTGCATCATATTTAAAATCATACTGGATTTGTGTTTATGTACCAGGCAAAGAACAGTTTAGCTCATGCGGTACAGTCATCCAGGCATGATTGTGAGCTTTTGAGAGAGCAGTTTGAGGAGGAGCAGGAGGCCAAATCTGAGTTGCAGCGTGCTCTGTCTAAAGCCAACGCCGAGATCGCACAGTGGAGGACAAAGTATGAGACTGATGCCATTCAGAGGACTGATGAACTAGAGGATGCCAAGTAAGAGATCACTCTGCTGTCAGTCGGTGTAACGTTGTGTCTTGTTTACTGAACAAACAGAATTGCTACTTTATTTTATAAAACTGATTTATCTTCCTTCAGGAAGAAGCTGGTTGCACGGCTCCAAAGTTCTGAGGAGGCAGTGGAAGCCTCCAATGCCAAATGTGCCTCGCTGGAGAAGACCAAGCACCGTCTGCAGACTGAGATTGAGGACTTGATGGTTGATTTGGAGCGTTCTAATGCTGTGGCTGTTGCACTGGACAAAAAGCAACGCAATTTTGATAAGGTCAGGATGAAAGTATTTAAATATTTGATTTAACCAGCCATTGTTCATATTTATTTTCTACTAACACATATTTCTTATTACTATGTCCAGGTCCTGTGTGAATGGAGGCAGAAGTTTGAGGAGACACAGGCCGAGCTGGAAAGCTCTCAGAAAGATTCCCGTAGTCTCAGCACAGAGCTCTTCAAGCTCAAAAACTCCTATGAAGAAGCCCTAGACCAGCTGGAGACAATCAAAAGGGAGAACAAGAACCTGCAGGGTACAAAGACTGTACATAGACTTCAGGAAAGGGTGTATCTGTGAAATAGCATACATTTATAATAAGGAAGGGAGATTCGATTTTGGTCCAGAATGATTTTCAAAATGAGCCCAACCAATATGTTTGTTTTGCAGAGGAAATTACTGACTTGACTGATCAAATTAGTCATGGCAACAAGTATTATTTAGACAAAATCATATACATTTTAACATTAGACTTAACATGAAAATAATTACTAGCTTATCTGTATCTACCAGTATTTTAATATCAATTCATACCTATTGATTTGTATTACTCACAATGAAATCGTTGAAATTTAGCATGTTAGTGCTCTTTTATCAAATGCAATTGGTTTGTCTTCTCAGGACCTGCAATTAGTGTTCTATGAGTAATTAGTCATGGCAACAAGACCATCCATGAGCTTGAACAGATGAAGAAGGTGCTGGACCATGCGAAGAGCGGCATCCAAGCAGCACTGGAGGAGGCTGAGGTGATGAATATTACCTGAGATATCAGACAATGCTCACCTGCGGACATTAATAATTATATACTTTGGTAAAAAACTAATGTGCCTCTAACTCTGTCTGATTTAGGGCACACTGGAGCATGAGGAAAGTAAGACCATACGCATCCAGCTGGAGCTCAGCCAGACCAGAACTGAAGTTGAAAAGAAACTTGCAGAGAAAGATGAAGAGATTGACAATCTCCGGTAAGGGAGAAAGACAAGAAAGCATACTATTAAAATTCCAGCATATAATTAAGTCACATTAAACTATTTATCAATGCAGTCGAAACCATCAGCGGACTCTGGACACCATGCAGACCACACTGGATGCAGAGATCAGAGCACGTAATGAGGCAGTCAGGGTTAAGAAAAAGATGGAGGGAGATATGAATGAGATGGAGATCCATCTGAACCATGCAAACAGACAAGCTGTGGAGTCTCAGAAAATGGTGCGCAACCTACAGCTTCAAATCAAGGTGAGACAGAAGGACTGGTTGAATCAATATGCAGGTTAAAAAGATAATCAACTATATGGAAGAACTGAATAATCTTAAAATCTCAAACTGGGAATAATCTTTAGGGATGCATAATATAGTGATTAAAGAATGTTTTTTAAAATTATCATTATCTGTTGATATTGAATATTTAATTGTCCATGCTCATTTCCTCTAATTTTACATTTAGATTATTTTTGCTGTCATCTAATATTCCTTTAAAGTTCATCAATACCATGAATAATTTAATAACACTTAAGATGTAATCTTTAGCCGATCTCAAAATGAGTGTCCATTTTCATAACGTACATAATAATGTTGTGATGCCTAAGTTCACTTGTAGCATTTAAAATAACTGATTTAATTTTTTGCAAAAGTAAAGAGCTTTAAGAGACAAGCCGAGGATGCAGTACGTACCTCTTGTTCATTTACGTTGTCGGCTTCATTCTTTTTGTATATAATTGGGCCAAAATGGTGTTTGAAAAAAATATATCATGTGACCTGTTAAACAATATGGCGTTGTCCATTCTAAGGCACACAGATTTCAGAGCTCTGTGTTCTACTTTGGTATGGCAGGAGGAGCAGGCCAACTGCAATATGTCTCGGTTCAAGAAGATCCAGCATGAGCTGGATGAAGCCGAGGAGAGGGCAGATATAGCCGAATCTCAGGTCAACAAGCTACGTGTGCGCACCCGAGAGACTCACGTCGTCAAGGTAACACACACTCAACTGATCTCAGATACTTAAATAGATCGATCACCCAAAAATGAGATTTCTGTCATCATTTACTCACCCTCTTTCTTCTGTGGAACACAAAAGATGATATTTAGTTTTTCATCCATACAATGAATTTCAAAAGGGTCCAAAACAACACTGGAACCCATTGACCCATTTTCATTGTATTGAGGAAAGAGAGAGAGCGAGAGAGAGAGAGAACACTAAGACATTTCAAAATATGCTCTTTTCTATTCCACAGAAAAAGTCATACAAGTTTGGAACAAGGAAAATAAAAATGGCAGAGTTTCATTCTTGGGTGAACTCACCCTATAAGTGTGAATAATCTGAAATAAAAAATAAAATGAGTCATAACAAACATACTTTTTTGTTCACAGATCGTGGAGTGAAGACTGACTTAAGCCAGATGACTTTTAAGAGTCATGTATCGTGTGACAAGTACCTTTCCTTTCTTTTTGGTCTTTGTATGATGCTGCGAAGGCACAAAGGTTTTGGAAATGTTTAATGCTTACTGAAGGCCAATGCAAACTGATTTTTCTTGTTGTGATTGAAGATTTCAAAGATAAAATGCTGATTTTCAAATGTCAAACAGTAGTCTTGAAAAGTTTTTTGTTTAAGTGTTTGTTCATATGTCCTTCTTGGAAAGGTCTCAGACTGCTGAGCTCATAATTTGCAATGTTTTGGAAAATCAGTGTCATTACAGTACAGCTGAAGAGCAGCACGAGGAAACAGCTGCGTGCCTCTCGTACCTTTCTGTAACAGCTGATCTGAAACTGGACTGAGTTTAAGGACCCACAGGGTATTTGAAAAGCTATTTGGACATGATAAATAAACAGCGCCTAAATGGAAATGTTTCTTTGATCATGTCAAGTTGCACAGAAATTCATTTGGAATAAAAATGCTAAGAATGTGTTCTTGTTTTTCTGGTCCAGCACAACCTGTCACCAAATAATGTACCAAACCCACACTTCTAGTTTTAACAAAGTGGATTTACTGATCACTTTTATGTCCTTCCAGGGACGAAAACTCAAAAAGTTGAGTCACAGTTCGTCTCCTAGAATTTTACATTTTTGATTATGATGATTTCAAATTAAGTAAATGTAAATGATTTAAAATGTAATATTATCTGGCTGGTACGAAAAAAAGTTAATCTTACTAAGGTTTAACTGGTCTCTCCTTTACCAGTTTACACACTGTTGTAATCAGCAGGAATCTGACAAAAGACCAATTAGAGACAATACAAAGTTGTAATTATAATTTAACTTAAAGAGATAGATCCCCCCGAAATGAAAATTCTGTCATTAATTACTCACCCTCTTGTCTTTCCAAACCCGCAAAACCTTTGTTCATCTTTGGAACACAAATGAAGATATTTTTGATGAAATCTGAGAGCTCTCAGACCCTGCATAGAAAGCAATGGAACTGACATGTTCAAGGCCCAGAAAGGTAGTAAGGACATCATTAAAATAGTCCATGTGACATCAGAGGTTCAACCATAATATTATCAAGCTATACTTTTTGTGCACAAAGAAAACAAAAATAATTAAGTAATTATAAACTTTATTTAGCGATTTTTTCTCTTCCATGCAAGTCTTCTCTTCCATGCTGCTGACACAGAAGTCTGCGTTCTGATGTAGAACGTCCATCTCTCTTAGTTCATCGGCTGTTGTATATTCTGGTTTGAATAAGTAAGGCTTGTCATCCTCTCTGTCTAAATCTTTAGACATGTTTAGAAGACTTCTTCCTCTGCTTGTAAACAAGGTGTAGCACATCTGGGTTCTACATCAGAACTCCAGCTCTTGTGTCAGCAGCACCACACGCATGGAAGAGAAAAAATTGTTGAATAAAGTCATTATTTTTGTTTTCTTTGTGCACAAAAAGGATTCTTGTAGCTTCATAAAATTAAGGTTGAACCACTGATGTCAAATACCTTTCCTTTCTTTTTGGTCTTTGTATGATGCTGCGAAGGCACAAAGGTTTTGGAAATGTTTAATGCTTACTGAAGGCCAATGCAAACTGATTTTTCTTGTTGTGATTGAAGATTTCAAAGATAAAATGCTGATTTTCAAATGTCAAACAGTAGTCTTGAAAAGTTTTTTGTTTAAGTGTTTGTTCATATGTCCTTCTTGGAAAGGTCTCAGACTGCTGAGCTCATAATTTGCAATGTTTTGGAAAATCAGTGTCATTACAGTACAGCTGAAGAGCAGCACGAGGAAACAGCTGCGTGCCTCTCGTACCTTTCTGTAACAGCTGATCTGAAACTGGACTGAGTTTAAGGACCCACAGGGTATTTGAAAAGCTATTTGGACATGATAAATAAACAGCGCCTAAATGGAAATGTTTCTTTGATCATGTCAAGTTGCACAGAAATTCATTTGGAATAAAAATGCTAAGAATGTGTTCTTGTTTTTCTGGTCCAGCACAACCTGTCACCAAATAATGTACCAAACCCACACTTCTAGTTTTAACAAAGTGGATTTACTGATCACTTTTATGTCCTTCCAGGGACGAAAACTCAAAAAGTTGAGTCACAGTTCGTCTCCTAGAATTTTACATTTTTGATTATGATGATTTCAAATTAAGTAAATGGAAATGATTTAAAATGTAATATCTGGCTGGTACGAAAAAAAGTTAATCTTACTAAGGTTTAACTGGTCTCTCCTTTACCAGTTTACACACTGTTGTAATCAGCAGGAATCTGACAAAAGACCAATTAGAGACAATACAAAGTTGTAATTATAATTTAACTTAAAGAGATAGATCCCCCCGAAATGAAAATTCTGTCATTAATTACTCACCCTCTTGTCTTTCCAAACCCGCAAAACCTTTGTTCATCTTTGGAACACAAATGAAGATATTTTTGATGAAATCTGAGAGCTCTCAGACCCTGCATAGAAAGCAATGGAACTGACATGTTCAAGGCCCAGAAAGGTAGTAAGGACATCATTAAAATAGTCCATGTGACATCAGAGGTTCAACCATAATATTATCAAGCTATACTTTTTGTGCACAAAGAAAACAAAAATAATTAAGTAATTATAAACTTTATTTAGCGATTTTTTCTCTTCCATGCAAGTCTTCAATGCGCATTCACAAGAGTACCACGACGCATGCGTGTGATGCTGCTGACACAAGAAAGCAATGGAACTGACATGTTCAAGGCCCAGAAAGGTAGTAAGGACATCATTAAAATAGTCCATGTGACATCAGAGGTTCAACCATAATATTATCAAGCTATACTTTTTGTGCACAAAGAAAACAAAAATAATTAAGTAATTATAAACTTTATTTAGCGATTTTTTCTCTTCCATGCAAGTCTTCTCTTCCATGCTGCTGACACAGAAGTCTGCGTTCTGATGTAGAACGTCCATCTCTCTTAGTTCATCGGCTGTTGTATATTCTGGTTTGAATAAGTAAGGCTTGTCATCCTCTCTGTCTAAATCTTTAGACATGTTTAGAAGACTTCTTCCTCTGCTTGTAAACAAGGTGTAGCACATCTGGGTTCTACATCAGAACTCCAGCTCTTGTGTCAGCAGCACCACACGCATGGAAGAGAAAAAATTGTTGAATAAAGTCATTATTTTTGTTTTCTTTGTGCACAAAAAGGATTCTTGTAGCTTCATAAAATTAAGGTTGAACCACTGATGTCAAATGAACTATTTTAACAATGTCCTTACTACCTTTCTGGGCCTTGAACGTGAACGTGAACTGATTTCATCAGTAATATCTTATTTTGTGTTCCGAAGATGAACAAAGGTCTTACAGGTTTGGAACGAGATGAGGGTAAATAATTAATGACAGAATTTTAATTTTTTTGGTGAACTTTCCCTTTAAAAGGTAAATAATATGAATTTGATGCATAGGGATAGAAGAAAACAGTATTTTTTATAACTAACTTAATATTAATCTATTAGTCAGTTAGTTACACACTAAGCTTGCATACATACTAAACCTGATATTTAGTAGGACTAGGTTTTGTTGCTTTCAATGTACTCGTCTTAAACAGATGTAATCTAACAAATGTAATTAATTTAACATAAGTAAAAAGTACCTCACCTCACCTCAAAAAAAATAAATTATAATAATAAAACCCTGCCATTCCGGCCAGAGTCCCTGAGCGATGCCAACTTGACTCAACAAGCAACCTGGTCAGACTGAAGAGAGACGGGGGAAAAAACTAAAACAAATAGAAGGGACTGTTGTTTTTGAATTATGGAGAAAGAACAATTACATAATTTCGTTTATCAGTATAGAAAACAAAAATTGTAGATTACATTAAATATAAAGTAACCCCGGAAACTTGCTGCAAAATAATATATTTGAATTTATCACTCTTTTACAAAAATAATTCCAAAGTTAAAATCTTAAACCTGGCTCTATATCCCTACGGTTCCATAACAAACCAATTTTTACAGATGAATTAGTAGCCATACAGACAGAAACATGCTTGTGATAAAACAAGATCTTTATTTTCTTCTGTTGATTTTGTGTTGTCACTCTGTGAGTTCGGGGCTGAAAATGTAAAATTTTAGGTCAAGTGAGAACTACATACATAACATAAATATACAGGCAGTATGTAAACTAAGCCAATCACCAAAATTAGACATTAGAATGTCCCTGAATTAAATAGTCTTTTTTTTTTGCAGTAAGGGACAGTGGGCAGTGAGGCTCTTCCTGACTACTTCCAGGAGTTTACTAAAACAAATAGAAGGGACTGTTGTTTTTGAATTATGGAGAAAGAACAATTACATAATTTCGTTTATCAGTATAGAAAACAAAAATTGTAGATTACATTAAATATAAAGTAACCCCGGAAACTTGCTGCAAAATAATATATTTTAATTTATCAGACTCTTTTACAAAAATAATTCCAAAGTTAAAATCTTAAACCTGGCTCTATATCCGTACGGTTCCATAACAAACCAATTTTTACAGATGAATTAGTAGCCATACAGACAGAAACATGCTTGTGATAAAACAAGATCTTTATTTTCTTCTGTTGATTTTGTGTTGTCACTCTGTGAGTTCGGGGCTGAAAATGTAAAATTTTAGGTCAAGTGAGAACTACATACATAACATAAATATACAGGCAGTATGTAAACTAAGCCAATCACCAAAATTAGACATTAGAATGTCCCTGAATTAAATAGTCTTTTTTTTTTGCAGTAAGGGACAGTGGGCAGTGAGGCTCTTCCTGACTACTTCCAGGAGTTTGTCATGTCTGAATGCGTAACTGACAAGCCAACCTACAGGAGGCGAGAGAATTTAGCACTAGAGAACAAGGCAGCTGTAACTCTACCAACTTAAAAACATCCAGACCCTAGTGCCACTGCAAACACAAACACACCTACAGTGGCATTACATATTCCCAAGCACATTCATTTCACATTTAATACTTTGAGCCAACATACATTCATGCTATTGAACACGAGCAGATCAATACCCTCAGCACCATGAATACCCAGATACACTTGCATCCACACACACACACACACACACACACACACACACACCTATTCTGTAATATCTGAATGGACTAGGTCTTATAAACTTTTTCCTAATTCTGATGTAAAGAGAGTCCTCTCAGTCTATAGTCACAGCTCCAGGAAGTCTCTGTCCAGGTCCCTGTAGGCTTCATCAATGTAGGAGGCAATAGCACAGCGTGAGCTTCTTCCAGAGCCCAGAAGCACTGAGACCGTCTCCTTCCAGTAGGTGAAGGGAATACAAGAGCTCTGTTTTTGGAAAGAGATAGAAAAGTTTATGCCTTAAGAGTTCACAACCGTGAGAGGATATCTGTGTTTGGTCAATGGAGCCGAGCTCACGTTCTCCAGGCAGGTGCTGTCCTTGTCCTTGTTGAGGTAGTGGTGCTGCCAGAAGCGCAGCAGGTTGTGGAAGTTGTTGAGCAGGCAGCCGGGATATTTCTCTGCATATTCCTTCTCTTGCAGAGCGCTCAGATAGAAAGGCAACTTACCCCGCCTCCGCGCTAGCATCAGAATCACCAGACTGGTGTTCAGACAGCTCACGTTCTCCTGTGATTGATCAAAATCATGCCAATCAGTTTTAAGGGTCAATGGTATATATATAAAAAATCAGTAACACTTTATTTTATGGTGTTATTCTTGTTACACGTACTTACTATAGTAATAATAACAATACGCATAATTACATCTAGCTAACACTAAACCAAACACTCATCTTAACCCTAATCATATAGTAAGTACATAAAGTTAAATATTACTCAGTACTTAAATGTATAATTACACCGTAACAATGAGTGTAACAGAAAAATTGTAAGTAGAGTTTTAAAGAAGTTCTTAAAAATTTAACCTTTGTATTACTGTTGGCTTAAAAAAAAATATATGTATATTAATAAATAAATATTAACGTCTCTAAAATTGTCATGTGTTGAAACCAGTAATAACATATTTTGCTTTGAAATAAACTTTGAAAACATGTAAATGTACTGATCTTAAACATTATTTCAGAAATTCAGGACAATGAAACTATGGTTATTACAGAATTAATTTATTTCAATTCAGAAATTAAAATAGTGTTACCATATGCATGTATGCATGCATTGCATTAATCATGTATTTTTGAATACATTTAGAATGTAACGCCCTTGAGTGAGATGATTCAGCTCATCATTTTGGATAACAGCATAAAACAGACACATTTAGAATGTTCCTAGTTCATGTGTTATTAATTATACTGACCATTTTTAAAAGTTTAAAATTTAAGTTAATAAAACTTTAACTGAAAAATTACATTTCAGTTTAAAGTGGTCATATGATGCGATTTCAAGTTTTCCTTTGTCTTTGGAGTGTTACAAGCTCTTGGTGCATAAAGAAGATCTGTAAAGTTGCAAAGACTAAAGTCTCAAATCCAAAGAGATATTCTACCTATTCTGTAATGCATCTGAATGGACTAGGTCTTATAAACTTTTTCCTAATTCTGATGTAAAGAGAGTCCTCTCAGTCTATAGTCACAGCTCCAGGAAGTCTCTGTCCAGGTCCCTGTAGGCTTCATCAATGTAGGAGGCAATAGCACAGCGTGAGCTTCTTCCAGAGCCCAGAAGCACTGAGACCGTCTCCTTCCAGTAGGTGAAGGGAATACAAGAGCTCTGTTTTTGGAAAGAGATAGAAAAGTTTATGCCTTAAGAGTTCACAACCGTGAGAGGATATCTGTGTTTGGTCAATGGAGCCGAGCTCACGTTCTCCAGGCAGGTGCTGTCCTTGTCCTTGTTGAGGTAGTGGTGCTGCCAGAAGCGCAGCAGGTTGTGGAAGTTGTTGAGCAGGCAGCCGGGATATTTCTCTGCATATTCCTTCTCTTGCAGAGCGCTCAGATAGAAAGGCAACTTACCCCGCCTCCGCGCTAGCATCAGAATCACCAGACTGGTGTTCAGACAGCTCACGTTCTCCTGTGATTGATCAAAATCATGCCAATCAGTTTTAAGGGTCAATGGTATATATATAAAAAATCAGTAACACTTTATTTTATGGTGTTATTCTTGTTACACGTACTTACTATAGTAATAATAACAATACGCATAATTACATGTAGCTAACACTAAACCAAACACTCATCTTAACCCTAATCATATAGTAAGTACATAAAGTTAAATATTACTCAGTACTTAAATGTATAATTACACCGTAACAATGAGTGTAACAGAAAAATTGTAAGTAGAGTTTTAAAGAAGTTCTTAAAAATTTAACCTTTGTATTACTGTTGGCTTAAAAAAAAAATATGTATATTAATAAATAAATATTAATGTCTCTAAAATTGTCATGTGTTGAAACCAGTAATAACATATTTTGCTTTGAAATAAACTTTGAAAACATGTAAATGTACTGATCTTAAACATTATTTCAGAAATTCAGGACAATGAAACTATGGTTATTACAGAATTAATTTATTTCAATTCAGAAATTAAAATAGTGTTACCATATGCATGTATGCATGCATTGCATTAATCATGTATTTTTGAATACATTTAGAATGTAACGCCCTTGAGTGAGATGATTCAGCTCATCATTTTGGATAACAGCATAAAACAGACACATTTAGAATGTTCCTAGTTCATGTGTTATTAATTATACTGACCATTTTTAAAAGTTTAAAATTTAAGTTAATAAAACTTTAACTGAAAAATTACATTTCAGTTTAAAGTGGTCATATGATGCGATTTCAAGTTTTCCTTTGTCTTTGGAGTGTTACAAGCTCTTGGTGCATAAAGAAGATCTGTAAAGTTGCAAAGACTAAAGTCTCAAATCCAAAGAGATATTCTTTATAAAAGTTAAGCGTCAACCACGTCTACCTAAAACAGCTCATTCTAACATGCCCCCACATGTCTACGTCAATATGTGGAAATATTAGCATAATGCCGCCCAAATGTGCACGCAAAGAAAGAAGGCGTGGTTTCAGGAACAGCAGTCGTGTTGATGCAGCCATGTCAGGGAGACGCTGTGTTTCAGTGTTCGAATTTGATTTTATGGACAACAGTTTTTTTAACCTAGAAGAGTACAAGGCTGGCTCTGCACAAAGGCTATTTAAAAATTTAAAAAAGTAAATTCCGACTTTGCTATGACAATCTGGCGCTTCTGAATCAGCGACTGTAAGTATGTTTTGTTATTAGTTTAAGTATTTGCTGTTGACTGTTCAAATGCCTTTTTCCTAATTCTGATGTAAAGAGAGTCCTCTCAGTCTATAGTCACAGCTCCAGGAAGTCTCTGTCCAGGTCCCTGTAGGCTTCATCAATGTAGGAGGCAATAGCACAGCGTGAGCTTCTTCCAGAGCCCAGAAGCACTGAGACCGTCTCCTTCCAGTAGGTGAAGGGAATACAAGAGCTCTGTTTTTGGAAAGAGATAGAAAAGTTTATGCCTTAAGAGTTCACAACCGTGAGAGGATATCTGTGTTTGGTCAATGGAGCCGAGCTCACGTTCTCCAGGCAGGTGCTGTCCTTGTCCTTGTTGAGGTAGTGGTGCTGCCAGAAGCGCAGCAGGTTGTGGAAGTTGTTGAGCAGGCAGCCGGGATATTTCTCTGCATATTCCTTCTCTTGCAGAGCGCTCAGATAGAAAGGCAACTTACCCCGCCTCCGCGCTAGCATCAGAATCACCAGACTGGTGTTCAGACAGCTCACGTTCTCCTGTGATTGATCAAAATCATGCCAATCAGTTTTAAGGGTCAATGGTATATATATAAAAAATCAGTAACACTTTATTTTATGGTGTTATTCTTGTTACACGTACTTACTATAGTAATAATAACAATACGCATAATTACATGTAGCTAACACTAAACCAAACACTCATCTTAACCCTAATCATATAGTAAGTACATAAAGTTAAATATTACTCAGTACTTAAATGTATAATTACACCGTAACAATGAGTGTAACAGAAAAATTGTAAGTAGAGTTTTAAACAATTTCTTAAAAATTTAACCTTTGTATTACTGTTGGCTTAAAAAAAAATATATGTATATTAATAAATAAATATTAACGTCTCTAAAATTGTCATGTGTTGAAACCAGTAATAACATATTTTGCTTTGAAATAAACTTTGAAAACATGTAAATGTACTGATCTTAAACATTATTTCAGAAATTCAGGACAATGAACTATGGTTATTACAGAATTAATTTATTTCAATTCAGAAATTAAAATAGTGTTACCATATGTATGTATGTATGTATGCATTGCATTAATCATGTATTTTTGAATACATTTAGAATGTAACACCCTTGAGTGAGATGATTCAGCTCATCATTTTGGATAACAGCATAAAACAGACACATTTAGAATGTTCCTAGTTCATGTGTTATTAATTATACTGACCATTTTTAAAAGTTTAAAATTTAAGTTAATAAAACTTTAACTGAAAAATTACATTTCAGTTTAAAGTGGTCATATGATGCGATTTCAAGTTTTCCTTTCTCTTTGGAGTAATACAAGCTCTTGGTGCATAAAGAAGATCTGTAAAGTTGCAAAGACTAAAGTCTCAAATCCAAAGAGATATTCTTTATAAAAGTTAAGCGTCAACCACGCCTACCTAAAACAGCTCGTTCTAACACGCCCCCACATGTCTACGTCAATATGTGGAAATATTAGCATAATGCCGCCCAAATGTGCAAGCAAATAAAGAAGGCGTGGTTTCAGGAACAGCAGTCGTGTTGATGCAGCCATGTCAGGGAGACGGTGTGTGTTTCAGTGCGAAAGCAAAAGCACTTTAATTTGGCCTTCCGGAAGTAGATGCAATTAGGAATCATTGGTTAAGATTTATTTACAACAGAACAGCACAACCCAGATGTTCGAATTTGTGCAACGCATTTTATGGACAACAGTTTTTTTAACCTAGAAGAGTACAAGGCTGGCTCTGCACAAAGGCTATTTAAAAAA